TGCTTTGAAGCCAGACTGATATTACTGATATAAAGATATTATGGAGTTTACGGGGATCATGTGAGGATAGCTCAAGTTTTTCCTTATAAAAGGCAGTTTTAGCTGCAGTCACATCCGAAGAGAATTTGGATAGAAGAGTACGGTAGGAAGACAGATCTGCATCAAGTTTAGATTTCTTCCATGTCCTCTCTGCTACCCGCAATTCCCTTCGGTTGCTGCGCAATGCAGCTGAAAGCCAAGGAGCAGGGCGATTTTTCTTGGGGTTAAGAGACAGTGGGCAGAGGTGATCAATGGATGAGGAAAGTGAGGAGAGAAGAGTATCAGTTGCAGGTTCCAGTGCAAGGGAGGAAAAGGAGTTAAGGTCAGGAAGATAGGACAGGGTGCAGGAAGCAACAGATGAAGGGGAGACAGAGTGGAGGTTTGGTCTAGTGGGTGAGAAATGTTGAAAGCCAGGATTGGGTAAGACAGGAAGGGTGATGGTAAAGGATACTAAGTGGTGATCAGAAATGTGAAGAGGAGTAATGGTGATGTCGGTGGCTGGAGAGAGGTATAATATAAGGTAATAAAACGGACAGCTTCACTATTTACTTAATATTGATTTCAAAATACAGTACAATCGTGTCAAACGCTTTTGAAATTACAGTACTGTATAAATTAAATTACTGAACTATGTATAATTTAATCTCAGGTAGCTAGACAGAAGCAGACGGACTACAGCAAGGCAAGGTAGGGCCATCAAAGTAAAGATGAAAAAAAAAGTTTTAATTTTTTCCATATGTTGTCATGCTTAGACACTGTAAGCAGACTACTTGACTACTAAAAACGAATGATTTAAACAGTATTTGTACAAAAAATGATTCTGTCCCAAGCTTTTTGATACATATCGCTGATTATTCTAACCGTGATCACTAAAGCAGTTTCCACTGTAATTTTTCACCTGTAAATTATCGCCATTGGCTCCATTGAAAATTACGCCCGAAAAAAGTGACCTCCGGAAACACTTCCGTTGTGTTGTGGCTATTTGCAGTGTGTTTCCGAAGTTGCGGTTGTTTTCTATATTTGCGGCGCGACTGTGAATGTGCAGTGCATTTGTAAAATGTGGTTAGCCTGTGTTGTCATTTTAATGAAAGTGTTTTCTGAATTTGTGTAACGTCTATGAATTTGCAATGTATTTGCAAATGCGTTATGAACAGGGTTGTACATAAGTGCGCTATTAAAATAAACAATGCGCGCCAGATCTAATGTTGCAACGCGAGTTTGATTTTAGGAAAGATATGTGCTAAACATTGGACCGCAGTATGAGCTACTGCTTTTATAACTTTCTTTATTCATCAAAATGTTCAAGAAGCAAACTCCATTACGCAATTACTTTGGTGTTCCTCCACCACCAAAGAAACGCCAGACTGAACCTGAACCGCAAAAGAAGTGTGCGTTCTCCGAAAACTGGCTGCAGGAGGTCAGCTGGCTTCAAAAGGAATGACACCTGCAATGAAATGTGGTGCAAACTATGCCGTGAAAATCCCACGGTGGCGGATGAAAAGAACACCTTTTATACAGGTACTAAAAACTTCAATCATCCAGCTTTTGATAAGCATAAAATAGTAGAGCACCAGAAAGTAGTGCAAGTGGTTGTTAACATGCACAAGCCGGCCCAGTGGTCCGATAGACAGATGGCAAGAAAAGCAGACTGAAGAACAGCATCAAGCACTGAGTAACGTTTTTTTGTTGGCCTTTCACAAAGCGAAACAGTAAGGAGTGGAGTGATGATGATGATGATGACATAAGATAACTTTCAGTGCTTTTAAATAGCAGTAACTGTTGTCAGCACTTAAAAAGCTGTCATTTCATTTGGTTTTCAGTGTTTATTTAAAAGACCAAGACCAAATATGGTATGTGCATCCCTGGTTATGAAATTGAATAATATGCTTTGTTGCTTTTCATTGTGTTTCTCTATTAGGCATGTTTTTCATGTTGAATTTCATTGGGCTTTCTCAGCCACCATACGCCTCTGCTCAGTTTTTAACTAATGCAGAGAAAGTGAGCTCCCAGTAGAATTTTCTAGGTGCATCTGTGGAGCCAAATTAGTAGTCAGCTAAATCTTGTACAGTTTATTGTACATATTGTATATAACCACATGAACATGGTAATAAAACAAGCAACTAGTACACAACAACCCTAAGAGGGATAAAAGGTTGGAAGACAGGTGGATGAATGGATGGATGATCAATGGATGAACACTTGCCTGTACATTCATTTACAATGAATATACTGTAAATACAGTATATGTCTCAATCACCTGTTAAAATCTCCATCAGCCTGGCCCTTACTAAATTAGTAGGCCTGTTATTCAAAATTTATGAATGGATGGAAAACTGTTTACAATAACTGAGAAGTTACAAATGCACTTTAAATGAATGCAATATTTGTACTAGTTCCTTGACAAGTCAAACTTAATCAATGCAGAGCTTCATGTGCCCAGCTGGTCCCCAGGAGCGTGACAGGAAGCTACACTGAACAGCAAGCACTGCGCACTAGCACTGTCCAGAGGGTCCCCCAGACCCCAGTCAAAGAGCCTTTGTGATTGTATGTCCCTCCAGGCCTGACTGCTTTAATCTAATTGATGCCTATCTCAAAGCGATGCTCTTCTCCCTCAAGCTCTGTAATAAAATTGCACACCCCCTCCCCCACCGACCCTATCATTCTGCCACCATGCCTCTGTGCAATCGTCTGAATCCAGGCATTGGATGGTTTCTCAAAGGCCATCTGCAGTTTTCGTCATCATTACAACTCTTCTGACCAGCCAAACAGCTGTTGACTCGCTGGCCCCGGTGAAGGGACAACAAATGAAACTTTGACCAGTAACTATTTATATTTATAATTAAATGCAGACACCCAGTTACAATACTAGAAATCCTAATGAGAGTATCTATGTCTTCTGCTGGGAAAGGAGCTGCACTCCTAGCATCGGCCTCAAGGCCTTGGAAGAACCAAAAAATAAAAAATAAAAAAACTGATCCCATACCTCATCCTTCGCATCCTCATCCACCTCAAACATGTGTGACGGCAGCTTCTCCGTCTTTAGACCTTTGCTGCAGGAGGGAGATGTTAAGTCAGCTCACACAGATCCACTCCTCGCAAGTGAGATTTTTGGAACAGTTTTACTGCTTACCAGGGCAGCATGCGGAAATCGCCCGAGTATGCCTCATATTTGTAGTTGATGACGTGCCAATCTGTGTTGTACATCTTGATGCACTGCCAATTAAGCACCAGCGTTAATGAGATGGCAGTAAACATGTCTCACAAAGCTTGACCAGTTGGATAAAGTTTCTCTAAATTGTAAAATCTCAAACTCTTTGCTTTGAAAAGCTCCTTCATTTCATCGATTTCTGTTAATTTGAGTACCTCTTTGGCAAAAAGACTCTGAGCTTCCTCCTCTGCCTTCTGCGGCACTGACGGGCTAATTGTCCTTCTCTCTCGGGACACTTGAGCCTCCTGCCAAATACAGAGATGCTTCCCTGTAAACATGCCCATCCAAAAACTTCTGCATAAATGGTTTAACAAATTTGGATTGCAGCTGCTTCTGTGGGTACCTCTAGCATTAGTCGCCACTACTTCCCAAGGTGCATTCCATTTCATTCACAAAATACCAGCATGACATGCCCTTTGAATTATGTCAGGATTTCCAGCAACTCTTATTTATTTCATATCTATTTCATATATGCCTATTTCTGCAGTTATTAGTTGTTTTGTGTAAACTTGTTCAATGTTTTGTAAGAGTCTCTGTTTTGTGCTGTTTAATTGTACTACATGTTCCTGACAGGATGGTGTAAGATATTCTATGAACTGATTTACAAAAGGCAAATCAAGAATCTTCAGTCTTAATGTGTAATATTCTATCTTCTGCCTTTCCTGAACGTCAAATGTAAATATTGTACACTGTGTACATGTATTCCTGTACTTCATTACAATTCTTTACATGTTTGTATCCCCATGTTTGCAACGATGAAAGCTGCTACTCATTCTCATTGCACTAGTCTATCACATCTGTAAAACAACCTTGATCCTGATCTTTTAGTAACAATGTTACATATAATTTTATTAAATTTACTTGGTTTTTACTCGACCAGGGGTCTCAAACTATAGTCCTGGAGGGCCGGAGCCCTGTGCAGCTTAGGTCTTTCCCTGTTCCACCACAAATGATTCAGCTCAAGAGCTGTGTGGTAATTTACACAAGGAGTTAAATCAGGTGTGTTAAACCAAAAACTGTGCAGGGCTCTGGCCCTCCAGGATTGTAGTTTGAGACCCCTGTACTAGACCTTCTAAGCAGTCATTCATTTCAAATACATAAAAATTGATCTTAACTCTGGACCCACCGAGACATCATCCACAGGAAATATCAGCAATTCTCTGTGGGGGTCACTGTGGATCTGGGTCTTCTTCTGGAATACAACATTCTCATAGTCCAAAGGCTCGATGATCTTTGGCTGCTCCTGCACCAGAAACAACGCCCATGGGACATGAATTATGAATGCAAGCATAATTCCCACAAGCAATAATAAGTTTGTCCCAGTTCAGGTTAGAGCTGCACAACTCTGAAAAAACATTGCGATTTTTTTTGCTTAGAATTGAGATCACAGTTCTCTGTAATAATTGTTTTTGTAAATGTAAACATTTACTGCACTCAAACTGCAAAAGGAAACATAACAAAACGTGACTGTACCAAACACATGATTGATCTAGGACCAGCATATGAACTTCTGACAACAGAAAGAAAAAGCTGAAATGGCTGTTCAATTAGGGAAACCAAAACAGCCATACCAAAAGTTCCAGTACCAAAAGCCCCAGGGGGGTACTTTTTTGGTCCTTCAGTACTTTGGGGTGGGACTTGAAACACTTTCTCTGTCAACTGGTTACTCAAATAGCCTGCCTCTGAAACACAATACAACCTATGTCTTGAAAAAGTTGCAAAGTGAGAAAACAATGCTAAGAAAAGTAATAATGACAATAATAATGCATACGTGGACAAATGAGGATAAGTGACCCAAGTTTTAACTGTCGGAAGAACCACAGATCAGGATAGCATAAAAAGAAATGATGTATTTTGTACAGTATAATACACTATGACAGCACGGTATTGGAAAATTTATAAGTATTGCAATGTGATTTTGTTATAATAAATATTGGGGTATTTATAAACCAAAAAAAGGAGTTTTTCTCCAATTTCTCAAAATCCATCTAGGAGTGATTTAAACAGCAAGGATGAAAATGAATATGATTGTCTCAGAGAATGCATGCGGCGCTCATGCAAAAGCAGCGGAGGTAAACTTTAAACTGATTTTTAAACATATACTAGATAATCTTGAAAATGAATAATAATTAAAATTCCAAAACTTGATCATTTATTTTCCTAAGACACAGTCATAGGAAAATGACTCTAGTCAAATGTTTTAGCAAAACTTAAACTGCCTGTGCTATAATATTTGTGTACAGAATTTAAAGTAAGAAAAACTCTGATCTAATCTAGCTGACTGGCAAAGTAAGGATTGCACATGCACAACATGCAGTGTTGCTATTACTATTGCACATCACCCAGCCCTATAATAAGCTACAGACATTTTTTGAATTCAGTACAAAATACCCCACCTTGCCCTGTCATTCAGTGTCAGTTCCAACACCTTGAAGTACCATACTTTTGGTACTTTCTTGAAATACTAAAAGTAAGGTACCTGGTGTAGTGGGAAAGCACACTTTAAAGACAATGCAGAATTTTGGAATGCTTGAGACTCTCTGGGGAAAAGTAGGAGCGCTTGTTTTGATCCAGCTGATGTAATACAATGAAGAAGAACCACTATAATTTAGAAATGAGATCGCTATTTTTATTTATTTTATTTTATTATTTTAAAATTTAACAATTAATTGTGCAGCCCTAGTTCAGGTATTGGAATGTATCCCTGGGCATACATAGACAGGTGCTAGTGCTGAGACAGGGAAATTCAAACCTGTTTTGGGGGAAAGAAGGGGCTGAAAAGCCGTAATACGTGATTAATTCGGTTGAATCAGAAGCAAAGGCAGCTGACGGAGAGGAAAGAGCAGATGAGAAGTCTAGCAGATAGAGCCCATGTGACTCTCCTGCGGTGGAGTGGCTGTGAACAAGGAATGGAGCTGCAGGGTTTAAAGCATCCAGCCCAAGTGCTGATAGGAAACTTTTACCAGACAGGGACCACTGGCCATAAATACTGATTACTGAAATTTAAAACTATACAAAACTATAACTAAAAATAATTTTATTCACACTGTAAAACTGTAAATTAGTATAAATTTTCTCAGATAACCTTAAAATCTGCTCTGCTTCAAATGCTTAGTGGCACATGGAGTTTTGTAAGTGACACACCAAGAACAGTTTGAGAAGTAGCACTGCTTTCAAAGCCAGCTGGAAGAGGTTATGAGAGTTAATGTTCAGAGTGATTTTCCATTCCTTTAACTACAGCACAGAAAAGGAACTGCCGGCCCAATGCACCTCCACTACACACACACACACACACACACAGAGGTTTGTAATCATATCTTTCTGGGGACTCTCCATTCATTTCTATGAGGAAATCTCTAATCACACCATGATGACCTTAACCCCTACCCACCCCTAACCATAACTGTAAGTAACCAAACTAAATACGAGACTTTTGACATTTTTTTGTTTTTTGATTACATTCTCAGATCAGATCTTTGAGGGGGACCTGAAAAATGGTCCCCACAATGTCAAAATAACAGGTTTTTATCATATTGTGGGGTCATTTGGTCCCCACAATGTAATATAAACCTGATCGACAAACACACACACAGTTTTCCATGGATGTCAAGAGTTCACAGCCATGCGATCTGTGGCATCAGACCTGCCATATACACCAGGGGCATTTCAGGACATGTTTCTGTTACCGTTAGAAGTTTTTGGGCTCAAATTAAAAACAGAAACGAGGAAGTTTTTTTTTTTTTTATGAACGCTTCCTGCCTGCTGTTTCATACAGATGACATTTATGAAACTACTTTCACATATTATTCTGAGGCATTTTGTACAAATGTTTTGCCAAAGTCAGGTTGATTTGAAGATAATTTGGTCCCAAAATGTATTAGTAAAACATTATACAAAATGTATAACTATGGGTGTTAAAACTGGAAAAAAATGTCAAAATTGCTTGTAAAGTTTGGTGAGAACATACAGATAATTGGAGTCAGACTGCACTGCATATTCAGCATGGTCACTGCCAGCAACCCAACCCAAAACAAACCCCGTCTGCAGCTTTCTCTGCTTGCCCAGTGTATGCCATAAGCGGCTGTGATTCAGTGCTGATGCCCCACCATCACCATTAGCTCCTCCTATTGCATTTTACAGGCCCGTTGCAGCTGGGGGGAGGGGTGCTGGAGGGGAACTGGAGCTCCTCCAATGAAAGGGCAGGTTTGCCACTTTACTGGCCTGCTGATTGTGCCCACAGTGTGCGGCCACTGTGGAGCACACGTCTCCTAGCTTTGCAGTGAACACACATGACTAAAGATGCTGGAGAGCAAGGGCGCTGGCCCAGCTTCCTGTCACATGTGAGAAGTCAGGGGCAGGGGGAGGTGTATCAACCACAACGGGGGCCCGGAAGCTTGTTGAAGGCGGAAGCGAGCATGTTCACAGCAGAGATACCATCCCACAGCTGATGTGAGGTTCCAAATACAGCAATAACTTGGTTGCTGTACGTCCATAACTACATCTGCACATCTGCCTAGATCAGGCAGAACCTCTGCACAGAGACACAGAGCAGGATACCAAGATTTTTCTTCCATAGGCGATAGAAATAACTCAATATTGGCAAATGCTGCAACATACAGCCAACACATGTATGAGAAAATAGCTTTAAACTACCTTGTACCAGTGTAATTTTGAACATTTAAGGGTGCTGGGAGATACAACACACAAAAAGGAGGGTCCTGGAATTTGATCAAGTGCAAAGTTTTTTTTTTTGGTCATTTTGGTCAAATGACCGGCACTCGGCGCTTCTAGTGTTAAAGGGTCAATCACCTGAGCGGCTTTAATTTCCCAAGCACAACAATGTGATCATGTGATCATTGCACTGAAGTACACAACTTAGTTCCTCTTCAGACCCTTTTGTTCTCAAATGATTTTGGAACAGCATCTTACTCAAGGACAAAACTGGCCCTACTAGAACCAGACCTTGAGACCCCATCTATCCACAGCCGTCCACAAAGCTTATCCCCATGTTGACTGAGACAGCATGTGCCCTGAGGACCAGCCATGTGGACACCAGTCACTACCAAGACCAAGCCTCCCTGCCCAACCTACTTCCTCACAGAAGACAGGCTATGACTTAGTGTCTCTGTTTTTTGAGTTGTTACCATATCAGTGTCCCTGCAGCCCAGAATAAAGGCTCTGGGTATCTGTAACTCCCAGATTAAATTTCCGTGATGCGCCCTGTAGGGTTTTCCATGATGTTGTACTGAATGGACTTGTGGGCACAGCCAGCAGAAATAAAACCTCTTTGTACATGTCTGTCATTATTATGGCCTTTGAGAGCTGGTTCATTTTTATAGCACTGCTGATAATAAGAAACCACAGAAGGTATTCCAGTAACATTCTGGATATCAAAGATGTCAATATGATTCTGGCTACTCATTTTGAATGGCAAAGTGAATGAACATAAGTGCAACCCCATACTTCAGTGTATACCACTGGGGTGTATACCAGAGCTGGGCCTAGCACCATAAGGAATCATGCTGATTAAGCTTCTTTCCTCATGGAGCAAGACATGCAGGGCCCCTCCGGAACAAGGAGTCTGCAAGTCGCTACCTCTACAGACCCAGCCTCCTTATAACACCCCCCCCCCCC